CAGTCAAGACATAAAGTAATAGAGTCTTGCTGTAAAAGGAGATGGAAAAAACATGAATTCTTGGAATTATTTAGACAGAAGGAAGACAGACATGCCCCAGAAGGGCAGTTCCTTGCACAGATTAAGTTTAAGATGATGCTGAGATCACAAGCAGGATGAAGAGAAAAATTTTTAACAGTCCCCACGTTCTCCACAAAGCTTTGATTCGAGTGCTCTGCTCCTGCGTGTTTCCTACCAAACATTAGGCAAGTGGCTTAGTATTTACTGTGTCTGGGTTTTTTTCTTTTAAATACCTCAACTGTGGCTTACGAAACATCCCCCCCTCAGGCAGACAGCAAAAAACCACATAATAATATATGACAAAAATGCTCAGAGGCTGGAGCTGAGGGGCTCTTGGGGAAGGACAACAGCAACCCTCAGAGTGCAGTATTCTTCTTCTACCATTAAAATCCCATTTTCCCCACTATATTTTACCTTATTAAGAAGAATACCATAGCTGCAGAGATGTCCACTGTTCAAGACAGAGCTGAATCCAAATACTCTAAATCCCCAGACACCACTGATGGGTCTCCTGCTCCCACTGTCAAATACTCTCTTTTTGAAGGATCCTTCCAGTGTATTTTATTTGCTAGATGAAGTGGACTTGGCCAGCTCCCTCTCACCGAATGCTGCCCTCACCCTGCACAAACACACTGTGATATCTCTCAAAATCCATTAATTGCTGCTAGCTCCATTAATCCACCATCTCACTCCTGAGAAAGACACTGGCAGCTGGTTTGGACAACAAAGCAAGACCTCTGAACACAGCTGCAGCCTTTCATATCCATACAGTGTTTTTTCTAAGTCTATCTACAGCTTCTAAACCTGAGCACTAGACCAAAGGATGCAGTTGTTTCAAACACTGCGTTAAAATACCATACAGTTACTATAAAAGGAAAAATGAATGGTTCCAGGAGGCAGCTCAGGCAGACAAGCCAGCATGGCTCCCTAGATAAGAGACAGCTGCCAGAGGTAAATATAAGCATCATTTACGGATGCGATGTCCTTGCTTGACAAGCTCTGGGATGCAGAGGGAGAGCAGAGGGGCAGTGCTCTCTACAGAGCTGCACATGCACAGGGGCTGCAATCAAGCCCACCTTTGCCAGCAGCACCACAGCAATGGGAGGTTGCAGCTACAAAGCAGTGCTGATTTTTACCTTCAAAGCCAGGTCTCGCTTTGACTGCCTCCCCTTAGTTTATTATGGAATGGTTTGGGTGGAAGGGACCTTAAAGCTCATCCAGTTCCAACCCCCTGCTATGGGCAGGGACATGGTCTAGTGTGAGGTGTTTCAAACAAGGAGTTGCCAAGTGCTCAAACCACTGTTACTAAAAGCCTCAAACCCCAGGACAGTGTTTCTACTCAGCACACAATGACAACACAGAGAGCAAGCCTGCTGACCCAGAGGAATGTGGCATCACTACAAATCCCACAATAGCACCCTCTCCATATGCTTGTGGAGCTACAGCTTGCGAAAATGTAAGTGAAAAGACTTGACTTGGTATAATAAAGTCCAGTCGCAGCTCTGATGCCTCCAAACCTTCGATGGAAAGGACTGCTCTATGATTACTGAACCTCCTCTGTCCATTCAAGACTATAAAAGGAGGGTGACAGTTGTCACAGCAGGACTGAGGTTACAGATCTCACAGGAGCCAGGCTGTGATCACAGAATGATCACATTAGCTTTAGCCATCCCATGGAAAGCATATCTACATAAACCTAGCATCCACATATATTCCACATCTGATCAAAGGGATCAGCAAATGCCAGCCCCTGTGCAGAGCACAGAAGGTGAAACACCATCTAAACCCCTACAGGCACGTCTAACCACCTGCACTGAATATGATACGGCATCTTTAGTACGGAGTAGATGCATGTAGGAACTTCACCAAAGCTCAGGAACCATCCCAAACATAAGATCCCATGTTTATTTCAGAATGTTTATTTCAGATTAAAACTCCATCTCTTTGCTAATAACCCAAAATTCACAAAGAGGTAGAAGACAACCAAGAAACCCAGGTCTGCAAATGCCTCATCTACAGAGGCAATGGCTCTATCAGGAGACACACAATCTCCTCAGCAACAAACTCTCCCCCTGTGATCAGAAATCTCATAATCATCATCAGTGATGGTGGTAGCAGAAGCCCAATGCTACTTATACCCACAGAGCCCGTAATCTACTATTTCCACCCACAGTTTAGACAACAGGTTTCAGAACCAAATAAAATATCTCAAAATTCCTTCTTTTGCCGAGTTTTTGATCTTCCTTTAATGACTGCCTTTATAAACATGTTCAAAGCCCTGGAAGGCACTTGGTGGATCCAAGCTGCTCTTCTTGATGGTGCAAAAAAGCAAGCACATGCCAAAATGACATTTTTAGAACCCATTTTTGAGGCCCACTGCAGTAGAGTATTTTCCAGACAAACTCCCTTGAAACTTTCAGTGTATTGAAAAGCTATGCAAAAACCACCAAGTATTTTAGCACCTGGAAAATAGTAGCTGCTACATACATCATTGCTCTATCAGGAAAGGCAGCTTAGAGGAGTTGTGCTGGGACAGTCATGTCTGAAAATCTTCCCATCCTCAAGCATTCCACCCATTGGAGCCAACTCTAATGCTCTTTTGCATAACACACAAGAATAACAAGCCTATTGGTTCCCAACAGTGCCAACAGTCCAATTAGTCATGAGTGGGATGATCAGACCTCAGTGTCTTTACTTTTGGGACACTGAAGTCCCAAAAAGTCACATGAATCCTATTCTTCCTTCCTGATTTAGATGATCTGAATCTAAGTCACTTCTCCTACTCCCTGAACCAGAGGATGACCAGGAGAAGGCCTCTTTTTTAAGCATCTCAAATTCTGCTCTAGTATGTCTAGCACGAGCAAGCTAGTAGTGAACCTTCTACCAGAGAGAGGTGACTGTCAGATAAAATTTGGTGGTCAGAATACAGATGTTGTAAAGACTGAATAAAAAGCATGGGTGGTGTTTATCTTTCCTTAACACACTTCACAGTTTCTTACAGAATGATTTAATCATGGAGATTACATCAACCTTTCCCACCAGAGCCTTGAGCTCTTCTGTCTTCCCCCACACCCTGATCTTTCATTTCTTGTCCTAGATACTGGTGACAAACCTCTGTCAGTGAATACGTGAGATTCATGTGCAGAGACATCACCAAAAACATTTTGGAAAGCACTTGAGAAATTCATGCTCAGCTGTTTTAGGTAGCAAAAAGGGCTTTTTGATCTCAACAGAAGGAGCATCTATGTAAGACTATTTCAAGCTGTTTCAATACAGAATCTGCTGGCCCAGATTAAAACATTAGAAGAAATAGTTTAATCCAACCTGCCAAGTTTTGCAGAGGTGGTTGAAGGCACATTGCTGCACATTGGTTCATCATGCGAAGCAACCTCCAGCAGAAGAGTGGTTCTAGTCACATTTGATATATGACATAGTCCCAACTTTTCTAGAACTTAAGTCTGTGCCCAAGATGCAGGAAAAAAAGTGTAAATACCACATCTATTATGTGTCCATAATGAAGACACAGTAAAAGCATTTGTGTGCCCTTTGTTAGGGGATATTCAAGCCTTGCACAAAGGCAATGGGTAACTGTTAGAGACTAAAACTCAGTAACAGTTACTGAGGCTAAACATGATCTCCAAAGGGGAGAACAGATTTTATTTTTCCCTCTGGTAAAAAGGAATTGAAATATCTACAGCTGACCCCTATGACAACACATCATGTGCTTACTTACTTGTGACACAACAGGCTGTTCTCAGAGACACTGCTCAAGATGTGAATTCTCATCCAACCATATGGCAAGAAGGGAGAACCGAACCAAGGGACAGAGCATGGTGTGATGCCACACAAACTGGAGGGGGCAGAGATGCTATGAGAGTACTAGGTGCAGAAACAGCAAAAAGAAGTACTGCAGCAGAACAGAGCTTATATAATCTGGAGACTATAATAAAAATCATAGAATCCCAGACTGGTTTGTGTTGAAGGGACCTTAAAGCTCATCCAGCTCCAACCCCCTGCCACGGGCAGGGACACCTTCCACTAGAGCAGGTTGCTCCAAGCCCCTGTGTCCAACCTGGCCTTGAACACTGCCAGGGATGGGGCAGCCACAGCTTCTCCGGGCACCCTGTGCCAGCGCCTCAGCACCTTCACAAGGAAGAACTTATCTAACCTGACCTTCCCGTTTCAGTTTAACCCCAGAGGTTTTAATTTTTATCAGCCGCAGAATACAATTCAAAATTCCTTGAAACCACATATTTAGGGGAAAAAAAAACAATAAACCCCACTTGTTTGCTGACACTGTAATCCTGAGATTCCATATTAATTCCATAATAGAGAAGTGAAACATTCTATGCAGTGCCAGCCCCATGGTTAGCAGTGTCACAGACTATACTAAGTTTGAGAGTTGCTGACAGAGTTGTGGTTACTTCAAAGCATCACCCGAGAAGCCAGGTTGTGAGGGGACTAAAGGAAAGGTAATGGGAGTTTCCTACAGAGGATCTCCAGCTCCTTCCTCAAATCCTTCCTCACAAGATCCATGATGAATTTTGGCGCTTAGGAACCCTCCCCAAATTTCCTGGATGTCTTTGGTCACCACTCTGCTGTGGGATGAAGTAGTGCTACAATTTAAGGAACCATGAACAATGCTCCTTACATCATGTACAGACAGCAGCACGTAATCTGCTCTGAAGAACCCTTACACAAGTGTAAATCATCCAAATAGTTAAAGACTAGCACAGAACCATGTGCAAACCTGCTTTCCAGGAACAGTGTAGAAGGTAAAGTCAGTACTTTTGTAGATTCATACACATGATCTTCTCCTGCAGCAGTTTTACATAAATAAATAAAACTGGAAAGAAACTCTACCAGAGCTGAGTGTACATCTCAAAGCATTGCAAACCATCCCAAGAGTTGCCTTTTAATAATAAGTATCATGTACAGACCTCTGCTAGTTTGTAGGGTAAGATCAGCTTCTCTCCTACTGTCACCGTCTTTCTGGTAACCAGGGCCTCAAACAGCATCTCTTCTTTCACCTAGAACAAAAACCTTGATGTCAATGATTATTCTGAGAATATTTTTTTTTAAATCCTATTAAAAAGTAAAATTAAAATCTCTATGTGCAAACATTTTCATGTTTAAACAATTTAAAACTTCTTAACTGAGTTTTACAAATCATTTAAGCCACTTTGCCAGCCCTTGCAGAGTTAATGTTGAAGGCATACAAACAAACTAGCCATGGGGAGGAGACAAACCAGCACATAAACCCAGCAGCAGAAATCAGACACCAGGGCATTCAAGAGAACCTGATTTTCTGCATTCAGTCATCCCATTTCTAGAAATTTCCCAGTGGTTTCCTTCACTCCTGGTGCAGCTCCTCCATCCCACACTGCTGGCAAAGTCAGCCAACTTTCTAGTGCTGGCAAGACAACAACATACAAATCACTCTACAAATAAGCAAAATGGTGTCATCAGTTTAAGATTTGCATGTTTCAATGCATCCAAGTCTCCTGGTCTTGGTGGTTTTCCGGGTGGGGAGGAGTTAGGAGGAGGAAAAAACCTTTTGAAAAGCACCTGATATTTACTCTGCTATTTGCACTTGGTGTTGACTCCCTAAAGACGCCAGTTCCCAGCAAGGTGACAATCAGCTGTAACAGAAACCAGTTTACAGAAAAGAAACCACAGTTGTGTAGACACAGACACTGTGGCAAATAGGTAAATGGTGCTGACAAATTAAGCAGGACCCACCACAAATTGTCGGGAGAAAGCCCCTTTTCCAACCAGTTTCAAGCCCCTCTTATTCTGCTGTCCTGTGGAGAAACTCAGAAGCGTGCCCTCTCTACCAGCACAGATGGTGATACACTTACACATAAGTTAGACCTAAACACTTTGAGGTGTTGACTGATCTTTGTTAAATTTCAGTATCAAAAAAGACATTAGTTTGGCTGAGATTATTTAAGGCCAGAGCTGGTAGCTGTGGATTGATATGGAGATGCTGCTGCTTGAGAAGCTGCACTGAAGTTGATACAAGCTGCCTAATTGTAACTGCAGGATTCAGTGCAGACACCAGATCTGCTCTGATGAAGACTAGAAGCATTAAATCCACATTTCTGAAGCCATCCAAGGCTGTATTTTTATCCCATGTATGATTTGACATGGGTGATGGAAAACTTAGTGGTTTATATACTTTGACTTGGTTTAATCCAGTGGTTAGTATGAAGAGAAATGCAAACAAGCCAGTGGAACTTAAGAAAAATCACACACCGTTGCAGTAACGATGCTGTTCTGCACAAAGCTTATTTTCTACCAGGGAGTCTCCCTGATAAACTCCAGTGCATTTTTATATGACAGACTTTTCTTGCAACACTCACTAACAAGAACTTGGTGCTGTGGTGAGGAAAGCAGAAAACATAAAGTCACCTACCAGCAATGCACAAAGCTTATTTTCTACCAGGGAGTCTCCCTGATAAACTCCAGTGCATTTTTATATGACAGACTTCTCTTGCAACACTCACTAACAAGAACTTGCTGCTGTGGTGAGGAAAGCAGAAAACATGAAGTCACCTACCAGCAAGGTCTGTGTCACTGGAAATAGAACATCAACACCTTGTGGTTCGTTTCATTAGTCCTCAGAGCCCCCAGTTCCTATGATCTGATTTTACCTTTCAAAATCAAGTGAAAAGAAATAATCTGGTTCATCTGACAGGAGGTTGTAGTGAGGTGAGCTTGGTCTCTTCTCCCAAGGAACAAGGGATGGGACAAGAGGAAACTGCCTCAAGCTGCACCAAGGCAGGTTTAGATGGAGCTGAGGAACAATTCTTTCCCCAGAGGGTGCTCAGGCATTGGAACAGGCTGCCCAGGGCAGGGCTGGAGTCACCGTCCCCGCAAGCGGAGACAAGGCCCTCAGTGCCATGGGTTAGTGGTGGCCTTGGCAGTGCTGAGGAATAGTTGGACTGGATGAGCTGAAAGGTCTTTTCCAACCTGGCTGATTCTGTGATTCTATGATCTGGAAATCCACAGAGAGTTTTCACATTCAATTTCTATTCCTCTATATTCAGCAAAATGGTGAGTTTTTTCATTTCAGCTTTGCAGAGAACATGTGGACACTTCTGCAGCAGGTGGTAACTACAGGACCATCGGCTGCCCTCCCTCAGCTGACAGCTTGGAACAAAAGTGAATTTTACACCATTGTTATCCCTCTTCAGCACGCTGGTGGTTTATTTATCAAAGGCAACCCATGCAGAGGGTATCAGATGGCTACTAATCAAAACAGGGCTATATAATATTCCTAAACAACCTAAACGCTTCCAAATCCCAGATTTGTCAGCAAACACAGGGATTCTAAATGGTTTAAACAAGTACTCGCACTGTCCCTCACCATCCCCATCTAACGTTCACTCTGGTTTCCTTCTCTCTGCTCTCTTGATGGATGTTGATGTTTTCTTGGTGGAGACCTGCAGATGGGCATCCTTCATCTCCAGACCTGCTGTGAGCTGAGCTGGAGGGATCAAATCGCCTTCGCATAAAAAAGCCACACTTGGCAAGGACGTGAACGTAATCCCTGCATCTCCCTGGCTCCGCAATTACCACCCAGTGGAGCTTGATCTCGATTGCTTCATCACCTTTGAAAGCCAACACCATGGGTACAGCCAAATTATCATAATTTTCATTTAAGGTCACAGCTTGAAGCTATCTGATTCCTGATGGAACAAGGAGCCACAGGAGCTTTCTAAAGAGAAACTCGGCACTTGCTGATGACTAAGGACACCTGGTGCATGGAAATACTTGTAGTTTCCCCATCACATACATCCCATTCTTCCTCCTCCAGTAAGCAGGATACATTAAATAGAGACAAAAAACCTATTAGAAAACATATTTCTTTCTTTTTTTGCCCTAGGAGTTACAATTCTAAGTTATATTTCATGGCTTTTTGCTTTCTCATGCTAAAGGGCAAGTCCTGTTCTCTCTCTTCAAAAAGCTACACAGCCCGTAGCAGTTTATATCTTAATTACAGGGACAAAATGCAGATTTAAGACTTCACTGCCACATGCAAGTGGAACCAATGCTGAGAGGGATGGATGACTAGAGCTCTAAAACCCAGTGAAGGATGACCAGCAACGCTGCCACAGCTATAAATGTCAGTGGAGCATGGCGGGGAGCAGTCAGCCAAGCTCCTGCAAGGGCTGGGCTGGAGCCAAGGCAGGCAGAGATTGCTCCTCCGATAAAGCTGGGCTATTATGTGAGAGCAGCTGAAGGAAAATGAACCATTTCCAACTTGAGAGCAAGAAAACGTCACTTCTTGACTCTCATCCATATTTAAAAAGGGGATTAGGGTGGCGAGTGCTCATTCAAAAGCTGCCTTGTGGAAAATAAACTCAGATTTCTATCAGTTCTTCTTGAAAATTATCTGAACCTTTTCTTTAGGCTTTCTAACAACCAGCAAGTTATCTGGCTCAAGTTCTGGCTTGGAGCTCCACATCTGATAAATCATGGAATGATTTGGGTCGGAAAGGACCTTAAGATCATCCAGTTCCAACCCCTGCCACGGGCAGGGACACCTTCCACTAGAGCAGGTTGCTCCAAGCCCCTGTGTCCAACCTGGCCTTGAACACTGCCAGGGATGGGGCAGCCACAGCTTCTCTGGGCACCCTGTGCCAGCGCCTCAACACCCTCACAGGGAAGAGCTTCCTTATATCTAATCTGAACTTTTGCTGTTTAAGTTTAAACTCTGCTCATTGCAGCAGGGGGTAGACCCAAACCCTTCCATGAATCTACGATCCCTAAGACTTAGATTGGAACACAGATCTAGAAGGCTGGATGCAAGCACTGGCTGCCCCATAATCCTCAACTCCCTTCTCTTCCCCAATTACTTTCCAAGATGTTTGTCACACGAGGAGCACAATGACTGTGGGATCCCTCCAGGAAGCTGAAGACAATCTTTCAGTTGAAAAAGAACTTGAACACATAGATCTCCTATGGAGGTAGACGTTAGCTCCTAAAGCCAACATCGTCAATGCAAAAAGAGGTCTGGGAAAACTGTTTTAGGGTACCTGATAACATACATCTACATTGATTTGCACTGAGACTCCATTGAGCAAAGTCAGAACTTGCCTTCCTTACTCGATGCTCCATCCAGGGAAATAATTTGCTCTTCTAATGGAAAACAAAAATAGTCTTTCTTAAGATCAACTGGCACTAGATCATTTCTAATAGACTGCTTTTTTTAATAAGCTAAAAAAGGAGCCTTGCCAGGCTTCTCCCTGCAAGCACAAAAGTTGTCCCCAGTTTTACACCACCCTCTGTGATTCCTGAAGAGGACCTGGGATCTCTGCAGCACTTGCACAGGGCTTGATGTCTGCTCAATCCATCAGGCAGCCCTGACACCACGCTGCAGCATTTCAGTGAAGTTTAAACAAAGACCATGCAGAACGTGCCAAAAGCCTCCCAGAATCCACACGCTACGTCTGCTTTTGAAAAAAAAAAAGAAGAAATGGAATCAGTGTCTTATTGTAAATGAAACCAGGATCTCAGAGTCTGGCCAAAGGCTTCTAGTGCAGTTTGCTTTTTCAACAAATGCTGCTCTGAATGTTTTAAGAAACCAAAACCATATTGGACAGGATTGTTGGTATCTAACGAAAATCAAACCCACCTCACAGACCAGCATCTCCACCCAGGTTCCTTATCACTCCTCTCGTGTATTAGCTTCATTTTATAGGGACACAAATCTCTTTATACTGAGGAAGGATGGTTGTTCAGTGTTGCTGCATATTCTAGGCCAGGTCAGATGGGGCTTGGGGCAACCTAGTCTAGTGGAAGGTGTCCCTGACCATGGCAGGGTTTGGAACTGGATGACTTTTAAGGTCCCTTCCCACCCAAACCAGTCTGTGATTCTATGAAGCATCAGATCACAGAAGAGCTGGTTTCTTCCATTGTTTTGCTACATTCAAGACCGTCTTGCCAAGCATCCAGTGTCTGTATGAAAAGAAATTAAACTACCTTTCAATGAATATTATTTTTATTCTGAGCTGATTTTCCAGTCTCAGTGAGTAATGCGAAGATCTAGACAGGGGATTAAGAATTTTTCAAGCCAATCCCTATTTTTAGCAACGGCAGCAGAAAAGCAAAGCTGTGTACTGTTCAGTGACCACAAAACCCAAAAAGTAATAAAATAATTACCCAAATGAGACCAAATACAAAGTGTCAAATGTTTCAAACAATATTTTGTTGAGAAGAATCCACTACAGTTTTTTTTGGAGAGCTGTTAAGTAGCTAACAAAATGCAATGGATGCTCTTTGCACTAAGGTTTGAATCCTTTAGTCCACCCTTTCGAATATGCATTACAAGATCTATTCAGGTCTGCAAAGAAGTAGAAATCACGCATTTCAGAAAACGAGGTGAAGCCTCTTCTGAAAACTAGTTAATTTACTTTATTTGGGCTGTAACAAAAGAAACATGACCAGCAGGTCAAAGGAGGTGATCCTGCCCTCTACTCTGCTCTTGTGAGGCCTCACTTGGAGTATTGTGTCCAGTTCTGGTGTCCTCAACATAAAAAGGACATGGAGCTGCTGGAGCAAGTCCAGAGGAGGCCACGAGGATGATAAGAGGACTGGAGCACCTCCCGTATGAAGACAGGCTGAGAAAGTTGGGGCTGTTCAGCCTGGAGAAGAGAAGGCTGCGTGGAGACCTCATAGCGGCCTTCCAATATCTGAAGGGGGCCTACAAGGATGCTGGGGAGGGAGTCTTCATTAGGGACTGCAGTGGTAGGACAAGGGGTGACGGCTTTT